CTGAAATCAAGACAAACATGAAAACATCATATGTTGAAGTGCTTTTCAAAAGATGTCTTTTGAATGAATCTCTTGATATCTTATGTTTCAAATTAATTCACTATTGCATCCTATGAGTGAGCTCTCTTTCGGCTAATTAAAATTTCTGTGAATTGGCCTTTGCTTGACAGGATTCTTCCCAAGTCCAGCTCACAATGAATGCATTATAAATAAAGGACAGAGGAGACCAACTAACCCTTTTGCAGGTTAGTATTGTTTTTATTAATGGCATAGCAAACGACGTAGTTTAGCTCTCCCAGCAAATCTTTACTTAAAACTATTGAATGAGCCCTGATTTTTTTTTTCTTTGGCATACTGCACTCCATTTTTAGTTCCCAACAAATTAGTTTTTTGTTTTTTTTGGTGAATAGTTAGTTAAATTTTTGTTTAACAAGAAATCATTGTTTGATCTCTATGATACAACCATTCAGGTAAGGAGTGTGAAAACATAAAAGTATATTCTTATGAGGACCTCAGTTGCTATACCAATGGATTTAGGAAAGAAAACCTCATTGGAAACTTCCAATTTGGCAAAGTGTATCATGGAGAGATGGAAGGACAACAAGTGACAGTGAAAATATGGGATGGTGTCAATAAAAAAAATAGACGAAATTACGGTACTTTGGGAACTCAAAATGAACTCAGGTTGAGGGTATGTGTTGTTTAAGTGATTTACTTCCTATATTTTTTGGTTTCTGTGATGATCTGTTGATTGCCTAATACTTTGTTTATTTAGGCTGAACTTATTTTACTTAAGCATCGAAAACTGTTATCACTTCCATATTTGGTTAATGTGATTGGATACTGCCACGAAAATGAACATTTTAGTGTTGTCTATGATCTTAAGCCGCTGAATTCCATGCATAACCTCCTACTCAACGGTATGTTTTCTTTGCATCCTCTGATAATTTACTGTCATTATTTTATGGGTGTGATATTATGGAGTTTCTGACTCATGGTTTATTGAGGTTAGCTTTAGTTCTGGTGCTAATATTGAATCTTAAGCTTTGGGATGCTTCATATGCATTTTTAATTATCTACATATTTGTAAATTGTTCTGACACGTAGCAATTGATTCACAATTGTAGCAAGTGTTTAAGGAAACCACTTTGCATTTTCAGATACTTTTACTTGGTCTAAGAGAATCAAAGCTGCCTTAGGCTTAGCATACCTACTCAAATTTTTACACACTCCTGATCCACCTAATGAGAAATACCTTGTTTGCAATATTGCTGCTCCTCATATAATGCTTGACCAGGTTGGTTTTGCTGCCATTTTATGACCTTGTTTGTGTGCAAAAATACTTAACTGCTTATTAATTGAACCTGCTTCAATATATAGGAGTACAATCCAAAGTTGTTCGACTTCGGCATGTTTCGAGGTGGAATTTTTTCCAATTGGTGGTATAACTATCCTTCTAAGAATGACGAGTGTTTTGGTTATGCTGATCCAGCTACGATTGGGGGAGGTATTTCAGCTCAACAAGTTTATTTGTTCTACTGTGTGTGTATATATTTATGAGCTTGGTGTTCATCAGCTGGGTGTTTAAAAAATTCGGAAGAAAAACACATCAAATTTATGTCGTCTGATTAAAGCACCACAGATAAAGACCGAAACACTCACTTTCGATTAAAATATAAGTTATTTTAATCTTTTTTAATAAAAATTTATTAAAATGACGTGGTTTTAGCACTTTTTTCTTTTTAATCTTTTAGAGGTCCGTCAGCACTTTTTTCTATGATGTGTGTATATGGAAAAATATTTATTAGTTGGACTTACAAAAACTTAGGCGAAAAAACACTTCAAAACAATATTTTTTTAATAAAATATCATAAGAAAATATTAAAATGATATCATTCTTTTTTAAAAAGTAGGTTATTTTAGTCTTTTCTCATAATATTTTATTAAAAGATAATGATTAATATATCCTCTAGTTTAATATAGTCTATAACACTCTCATTAAGAAATTATTATTTTTAAATTTGAATTCAAGGCAAGCAAATTTTGAATTGTAGATTTTAATGGATAAACTGTTGGATGTTAGTGAGTATATTAAACTGAAAAGTGTACCAATAATTTCCTTTTATTAAAATGACATAGTTCTGAATTGTTTCAAGTCTAGCTGATAAGTATAGTCTCATATATATATAGTTAGGATCAATATATATAAGTTTTACACACAACTTTTGCACAAAATCATGATTGTTCATGTTTTACACTCAGGTTTTCATATATAATTTCAAAAAAAAATATTTTATCAATTGGACTTGTGAAAAATTAGGTGGAAAAACAATTTAAAACTGTCATTTTAATAAATTCTCATTGAAAATCACTAAAATATCCTACTTTTTAAAGCAAGAATGATGCTATATCAGTTTTTCT